TGTAGGAAATCATTGAAAAAAATACTCAGTAAAGTTGAACAAAATGTGATGTGGAGGAAAGATATAAATGAGATAAGAGGGGAGGGATCAAATGAGAGGAGAGAAGGGAATGAGAGGAGATATAGATTGGACGAGTTGGGGAGGACAGTGGCGGAGGTATCTAATAGAAAGGATTCAATAGCAGAATTTGTGGGGAAGCTAGGGTGTAGAATGAAAAACTTGAATGTCTTGAAAGGTGGCCTACAAAAGGAGGAGCAAAATAAAGAAAAGAAAACTGAGTGAAATTGAGAGACTGAAAAGGGATGTGGAAGGTGACAAGAAGTTCAGGGTAAAAGGAGATAGAAGGAAAGGGGGGAAGTAGTGGTTAGGTGAAGAAGGGAACTAAGGAAGAAGTGATTATGAAGATGCTTAGTTGGAATGTGAGGGGTATAGGAAGTGCAAGGAAAAGAGCAACAATTAAAGAAGTGATCAAGAGGTTTGACCCAGACATTGTACTAATACAGGAGTCCAAAAGAATTGAGTTTGACAATAGATGGGCAAAGAGTGTTTGAAGAGCTAGGGGGGTTAGTTGGGTGGCTGCTCCCTCATGGGGAGCTTCAAGGTGGATAGTGACAATGTGGAAGAGGGATGTGGTTGAAGGATTGGAGGAATTGAATGGAAAATACTCAGTCTCCCTAAAGTTTAAGCAGCAAGAGGATGGTTATGTGTGGGTGCTAACAAATGTTTATGGACCAAATGATTACAGAGAGAGAGAGAAATTGTAGGAAGAACTGGCTGATGTCAAAGGTCTATGGGATGGGCTTTGGTGTGTGGGAGGGGACTTTAATGTGATTAGGTTCACAGAGGAAACTAATAATACTAATCAGAGGGTGACAACTAGTATAAGGAAGTTTAATCGGTTTGTGGATGCCTTTGAAATCAAAGAGATACCTTTAGCCTACAAGGCATTCTCTTGGTCCAATCTCCACTTGAGTCCCATCTGATCTAAGCTGGATAGGTTTATATTCTCTTTAGAGTGGGAATAACACTAAGGGAACTTAGCCTCTAGAGCTCTTCCTAGATTGACCTTTGACCATTGGCCCATAGCAATCTGCAAGGAGGAGTGGAGGACATGCCCCTTTTAGGTTTGAAAATATGTGGTTACTTCATCCTGGGTTTACTAAGAGAGTATCGGAGTGATGGAATGAGTGTAACCCATTAGTGGAATGGGAAGGTATGAGATTCCATAAGAAACTCCAATTTTTAAAAGTAAAGATCAGGGAGTGGAATCAATTGGAGTTTGGTATGTTAGAAGAAAGAAAGAGAACTTTGATGGACCAAATTGAGCTCCTTGACATGAAAGAATGGGAGAATTTGAAGAGGCAGACAAGGAACAAAGAAGGGGTCTGAGAAGACAACTAGAGGATTGCCTACACAAGGAGGAAATAAATTGGAGGCAAAAATCTTGGTGCAAATGGCTGCAAAAGGAAGATAGAAATACCAAGTTTTTTCATTCTATGGTAAATGGGAGGAGAAGGAGGAACTTTATATCCATACTAGAAGTTGATGGAGTTGCTCTGACACAACAGGATGAGATAGCAAGGACCTTTGTAGAACACTTTAAGTCCATCTTAAGAAGGCCTTTAAGTGGGGGGGTGTGGCTGGAAGGACTGGACTAACCGAATGTAGGGGTAGAAAATAGGCAAAGGTTGGAAAGAAGGTTTGAGCTGGAAGAGATTAAGGAGGTTGTATTTTCTATGGACAGAATAAAAGCTCCAAGTCCGGATGGTTTTACGATGGCTTTTTACCAAGATTGCTGGGATATTTTGGAAAGTGACCTTTTTACCAAGACTGATGGTTTTACGATGGCTTTTTACCAAGATTGAGGAATTTCACAGGAGAGGAGTTGTTAACCTTGGAGTGAATTCCACCTTCTTAGCTTTGGTCCCAAAAAAGAAAGATGCATCCCATCCAAAGGATTTTAGGCCAATCAGTTTGATAAATAACTTGTATAAGATATTAGCAAAGGTGTTGTCTTTGAGATTGAAGGAAGTACTGCTAGTAATCATTGCACCAAATCAATGAGCTTTTGTGAGTGGAAGACAAATTACTAATCAGATTCTAATTGCCAATGAGAGTGTAGAGAACTTCATAAAGGAAAGAAAGAAGGGAGTGGTATATAAGTTGGACCTGGAAAAGGCTTATGACTTGGTGGACTGGTCTTTCTTGAAGAAAGTTATGACCAATTTAGGGTAAGATGGTGCAAATGGATTATGGAGTGTATTTGGAATTGTCATTATTCTGTGCTAGTGAATGGGACAGTAGTAGATTTCTTTCTATCCATTAGGGGCATAAGACAAGGGAACCCTCTCTCTCCATTCTTGTTCACACTGATTGCTGATGTTTTGGGGAGATTGATTCACAGAGCGAATTCTAGGGTCCTTTTAAGAGGATGGGGATTTGGAAGGGAGGAGACCCCCCTTACCCACTTACAGTTTGCAGATGACACGATTTTGTTCTGTGAAAGAGGAAATCTGAGGTGGATCAGGAACATGAAATTGGTGATACAACTCTTTGAACAAATGTCCAACCTAAAGGTGGATTTTGAGAAAAGTTGTGTAGTTTGTGTGAATATGGAGGGAGAGGTCAGGGAGTGTGCAGAATTATTGGGATGTGAAGTTTTAGGTTGGCCCTTGAATTATTTAGGATTGCCATTGGGTGATAAACCAAAGAAAGAGAGTTTCTGGAATCCGGTGGTGGAAAGATTTGAAAGGAGACTTGTCTCTTGGAAAAAGAACTACCTTTCCCTTGGAGGGAGGATTACACTGATTAGGGCTACTCTAGCCAATTTACCCATTTATTTCTTGTCAGTGTTCAACCCAGCAAAAGTGTCTAATAGATTGGAGAAGATGATGAAAGACTTTCTTTGGGAACCAGGAGAGGAGAAGAGGGACCATAGGGTGAGCTGGGAGGTGGTGACTAGGAGCAAAAACCTAGGTGGAGTGGGGCTTGGGAATATGAGGAAAAGGAATATGGCCCTTCTAGGGAAATGGTTATGGAGGTTCCCTTTAGAGAAGGAGAAATTATGGGCTAAAGTAGTGGTAAGCATCCATGGGTTGGAGCAAAATGGACGGGATGCTGGAATTTGAGCTAGGACAACAAGCGCCTCACCTTGGAAAGCCATTCATGACTTGTTACCAATTTGCTCCCCTCTTATCAGGTATGATTTGAATTTAGGTAACTCTAAAAATTTCTGGGAACAAACCTGGGTGGAGAATGCCCCTCTAAAGGACCAATTTCCTTCCTTGTATGCCCTGTCTAATTTGAAAAATGAGCCAATTTCTTCTTTCATTACCCATTCCTCTTCCAATTCTAGGTTCGGGTGGAATTTGGGTTTGAGGAGGCTGTGAGAGATTCAGACATTGATAGTATTTTGAGTCTCCTTGGACTTCTTGATAGTGTTTTTTTAGACCCTTTAAGGTGGACTCTAGAATTTGGACCCCCACCCCCACTGGCTCATTCTCTTGTGCCTCTTTCTTCAAAGTGTTAACCCAGTCTACTAGTGTTGTAGCCCTCCCTTTCCTGTTAAAGAAGTTTGGTGCAGACCAATTCCTCCTAGGGTTGGTAGTTTTTGCTAGGAAACTTTTCTGGAATGAATCAACACTGGTGATCTATTCCAAAAGAACAAACCCAAGACATGTTTATCCCCTCACAGGTGTGTTCTTTGTAAAGTTGATGAAGAGACTGGTTTTCACCTATTGGTGTCATGCCAGTCTGCAAAGTCTATTTGGGAGTGAGTTTTCTCCCTCTTTGGGTGTACTTGGAACCATCCATCAAACTTGCAAAGTCTTTTTTCCTCTTCTTTCTTCAGGTGGCGTCTGAAAAGGGGTAGGACCATGTGGAGATGCCTGAGGGCTGCAATATGTTGGTCTTTATGGGAAGAAAGAAACTCCAGCATCTTCTCTGTAGTAGAGAGAAGTGTTGAAGAGCTAAGAGAAATGATCCATATAAGGGTTCTATAGTGGCTGAATCTTTAGAGTTGTTCACAAATTACACAGCGGATGACATGTTGAGGAAGTGAGGTGAGATTGCTAGTTGCACCCAGACCAAAACAGGAATGACTTTGTCTTGGACCCTTCCACCAGCTGGTTTCTTAAAACTAAACTTTGATGGGAGTAGTAAAGGGAATCCTAGACACTCGGGGATTGGGGGTGTATTTAGGGATGAGAATGGGATTGTTTCAGCCTTGTTCTCAAGCCCAATTGGAGTGGGTGATTCTCTCAAAGCCGAGATCTATGCAGTTATGGAAGGAGTTCAGAGAGCTAAGGAGATGAATATAAGAAAACTTATAATTGAAGGGGACTCGGAGGTGTTGGTAGGGTGGCTGAATAAAGACAACAATGGGTTATGGAATTACAGCAATGAGATGAGGAAATTTAGGTGGTTGGTTCAAGAGATGGAAGTCAAGATCAGTTGGGTGAAAAGATCAGCTAACTCTTTTGCTGATGGGTTAGCTAAACAAGGGGTGGAGAGGGATTTTATGCTTTGGGCTCAGTTGTAACTCTTTTCCTTTCTTGGGGGCTCAAGCCTCAGCTAGAAGATAAGAAAGTTTATATCTCCCTTTGTAATTATTTTTCTGATTAATTAATGAAATGTGTTATTGATCAAAAAAATCAATAAAATGTGAATATTACTAATCAAAAAGAAAAGAAAGGAGAGAAAAGGTGTATTTGTCCAGTTTAGGATAGTAACGGAATAAGAACCTATTGAAGCCAACAATAGGCAGTCCACTGAAAACTCTTCTACAAATAGAGACTGATGAAAACCTATAGGTATGAATTACAATTCCCATCAAAGATTTTCCCTTGGAAATCAGGTTGCTGAAATTCGAACTATATAAATTCATCTGTTGTTCTGAAAGATAAGTTAATCTCTTACTCTCAGACTTTTGTTCATCAAGAAAGAGGTGGCATTGACAATCGAACTCTTTAACTTGTTATTCAATACACTAAGTTACTAACCTCAGCAAGAGTCTTGCGGTGCTTGGAGTCTTGGACAGAAACCTCCTTCTTGAAATTGTTCAGTCTAGCATCAACCTTCAACCCAAAATGGATAAGGAAAGCATCAGTTAACAATCTGGATAATCTTATAGAGGTTATTGGATGAATTCCTAATAAAATACCTGCTGTCTCAGATCAACCAACTCCCTGCAAGAATCTTTGAACAGGGATAAGAGAGTATCTACTTCTGGAAATAGAGGAGCAGAGAGCCCCTGAGCTGATTTTGCTGCATCAGATGGAGCTCGCAGATGCCCATTGGGTAAAACATCACTTCCTCCAGCACTGCTATGGACATCTGATGAATCATTTTGATCTTCTTGAAACAAGGGAAGGAGTTCATTTACCAGGTTCCCAAACAATGTATCAAAAGAGAAATCACCCTAAAAGGAAAGGAACTTGTAAGTTCATTTCAGTTCCATAATATCAATAATCAATCCAAATGGACCATTAGATATAGGAAAGTCATTAGACAATCCTGAAAAACCTTCATTTTTCAGCACAAGTTCCTAACATCTAACCCATCCAATTGTGCCTTCAACGTATCTTCTGCAATACAGCAATCTCTAGGCATATTTTGGACAGTTTAGACACTAGAAACTGGCCAAAATGACAGCCCTCGTCACCATCCTGGCATCACCCTTAGCAGCATTGAAATAATCTAATTACTAATAAAAAGCAACGTTACAAATCTTTGAATGGGATGAACTGTTTTTAATGTTTTACTTTTACCTTAAAGTCTTCTATATCCAAAATAAGTGGAAGTTGGCTAATAGATGATGTCTTTGAAACTCTACCTCCCTTGGTTCCATCCCTGTCCTCTTTCATCTGATACAAAGAAGACTAAATCAAGATTCCAAGCAATACAGCATTCAATTAAATGTGCAACAACAGGACAGGTATTTGGTTAAGCAGAAAAGCATGCAAAAAAATATGAATCTAGAACAAAGCAAAATTCCATAAGGGTCGACTGTTTTCCCTGATGCTTCTAACTGCTCAAAAATTGTCAATGTTGTAAGAGATTGATCATGTAATGTGGCGTCAGCAAAAGGTTGACAAACAAATCACGAAAGCATCCAAATTTGCACTCAAACTTGCCTCAAGATTAATATCTAACAACGAGATTCAGCAGGCTTGACTTACAAGATAAATTATTAATCCCTACATTCTCAACGAATGGCCTAGCACAACTAACAGGCCCAAGAATACTTCTCAAAAGGGGGCATTCGTAGCATCATGGTATAATTCCGGGATCGGCTTATATTGCTTTGCTTGATTTCAAACTGAGCAATTTCATCATTTGAACTCTAAAAATAGTAAAATAACCACTTCAAGACACGTATTCTCCAAATTGCGGGCAGTGCTCTCTCTCTAGTTAGTGATTAAACAATAAATAAGCCCCAATCATCAATGTCACTGCTGGTTGAAGCTAAGTTGCAGGACTTATGGTAAGTTACAGTTCAAATTACAAATCAACACAGAAAGACATTGAAATTTAAACATTTTACTTTATCGTGCACCAGGGAAAATTGCTAAGAGAAAACAGCAAAAGGCATTCAATTCATACCCATTGAAAACAATTTGCAGAAAAAATCAACAAGTCTATCCCCTAACTAAATTGTTAGAAATCAAGGAGTTCTCAGTCTGATCTAATGCAACCAAAATCAGCGAGATATAAAATTGGTTACCTCTTCGTTGGGCCGGTTGAACGAGAAGGACTGAAGACCTGATTATCTCTTCGTTTGTGTCTTTTCTCTCTTTTTCAACCTTTGCTTCTTTGTTCGTTGTGGCAATCGATCGATCGAAATCGAACAATGAAGACAGAGAAGACTAGACAGTTTTAGGGTGTATACCTGAAAGCATTACATTACTTTCTAAAAAAAACATATAAATTATTTTATTACTTTCCAGAAATATGCCAGTGTTGAGATCACATCTCCGCCCCACAACGCCTTACAACACATCTTTGCCGTATATTGGAATCATCTTTCGATGATATCATTCCCAGACGTTGATGCTTTAGACGTCAAATCCGGCTTAGATTTTGACACGTCGAATCATGAACATACTACTCACACTTGGATAATCTATGATTCAACAGCCAAAATTCTCACCAAGCTATACCTAAGGGGTAAGGAGGCTGTCGACGGTCCGAAGTCCGACATCCAACCCGCATGCGAACCGATTATCTTTAGAGGTGATTGGATCGGATTTTCTGTTTAAGTATCGGATCGGAATTGGATTTTATGATCTTGGCTTGGCCATTCAATTTAATAATTACCCATTAAAATGAAAATGCACATTTTAGAGGTGTTGTGAAAAGAAATGTAGATTTTTTTTTTTACATTTGTTTTACCGAATTTCAAGTGTGGGGATTGCATCTTAGGCTGTGTTTGGTTGCAATGCAGTTGAAAAAAATGCAAATTTTCATTTAACTTTGTTTTGGATTTTATTTTATTCTACATCATGTATTAATTTACTTCATTTGTACTGCAATCAAACAAAATAAGCTCAATTTTTGAAACAAAAATAAATCAAAATTTACATTTAAGTCATTTGCATTGCCATGGTTTTCCCTCTACGCATATAAAAAATGATATATAATACCATAACAATTTGTATTAAGAAATATACACATTATATTATATATCAATTATTTATAGTACAAAAACAATGTAGTTAATGTAATGAATCATTTTAAGTCAACAATATATTGTCCATGTAAAAAAATAATGTTTTATGTAATCCAATTTTTTGAACGTCGTCAAAATATCTATACAATTATTAATAAAAAAAGAGTAAATATTAATGAAATCTGTTTACCTTAAAATGAACATCCATTCAAAATCTTATTAAAAAATAATACAAAATTATCAAACAATAAAGAAATTAAAATTTCAAGAAAATAATTATAGAATGAAATATATAATATGCATGTACATCATTTGCAAGCATAGAATGAAATACGTAACATGGAAAGTAGCATTCAATATAAAAAAATGAATATTAGCATAAAATAAATATAAATTGCACGGTAAAATAAATGTACAACAAGAAGATAAAGCATTATTCTGGAAATGAACCTAGTGGCCGATCCGTTTTTGCCACTGAAACACGAGTTAGTGGTTCAACAATTCACGTGGGTGTTTAAATACTCTTGGTGTTTGTTTTACTCAATTTGAAGAACGGAGATTGCATCTTATAGGAATTTTATTTAGACACCTGCATTATATCAAGAGGACAATGAAGAATTCCTTAGAGATCATCAAGCCTTGCCCAAGTGATTGCTTCTTTTCAACCTAGTAGTAGTGAAAGTTTTCTTGCTCTCTAGCTTTCTTGCGGTTATTAGAGATTGTTTAGGAAATCTTTTCTTTTTTTTTGTTTTTTTTTTTGGGGGGGGGGAGGGTTACATAGAGAGAAAGACAAAGAGCTACACAAGCCGAGGGGTAGATCACCATAGACAATTAGACAAACAAATTAAAACTAAACCTCATGGATACAACAGGATGAACAATGAAAACATTACATGCTAACCAGTCCACCGCCTGATTCACTTCTCTAAACGAGTGTTGGAAGGCAATCCCTAAACCCAACAAGCCATACAGACGAGAGCAATCATCAACAATATTCCTTAATCTTTATAGGGATCCACTACATTCTTTAAGCAAACAATGACAAGCTTTGAGTCACCTTCCAAAATGATCAAACAATTTTTGAAGTTGATGGCAATGTTGATAGCGTCCCACGCAACCCAAGCTTCTGCTAGATTAATAATTGAAAAATCCAATACCATAAGCTTTAAGGTCAACAATCTTGCCACGATATTCACTAGCAATGCATGCAATGGCACAAAGACCATCCAGGTCACATGATGCATCAAAGTTGATTTTGATATAACCCTCTCTAGGGCAGTTCTAGATAATTGATTTCCAAAATTTACAATTTTTAACACCCCATTCATCAATGGTACCAAAATTAGTTTCCTCCTCATAGCTTTTGGCTTTCATAGTAAGAATAAGAGGGTTGGTAGTCCTATTATTGAAAAGTTTGTCGCTTTTGCTTTTCCAAATGAATCATAGTAATATGGCAATATTTTCTTTGACCAAACAGTCCCCACTTACAACCTTAACGTTCATAAGCTTATCTCACCATCTTCAGGCAGTCATATCGTTTCCATTAAGCCCACTAAGGTTGAATCCCATTAACTGCCAAACTTTCTTGGCATATATGCACCTAATGAACAAGTGATTGGTATTTTCCACTTCCCTGCAATGACAACATCCACTATCTATGTTAAATCCTCTAACAGGAAACTTGTTTTTAGTGTGGATTTTACCACTTAGAACTAAAAATGTGAAAACTTTCAGCTAGGGGGGATTGAGATTCCATATATTCTTCAATTGGTTATCACAAGTCTCATTAACCCCATTAGTTTTACCTTCCTCATTGTAAGCGGAGCTGACAGAGAACTTACCCATTGGAGTAAGTCTCCAAGCAAGTTGATAACCCAAGTGGTTTGGTGGTATTAAATTAGGCTTTATAACATGCCAAACACAATAATGAACTCATGTTATAATAAGCTATCATCTCCAAATCTTTATATATTGATCAATAACATTGCTCACAATTAAGTCCAAATCTTCGATACTATCCTTAGTTACTTCATTAATCAGAGGCCCATTTCCTGCCTAAGTGTCAGCCCAAAATCTAATATTATTGCCATCACCTACATTCCACCCCATGCCTCTCTTAATAAGATGCCATGTTGAAAGAATCCCCCACTAAGCCCACAAAACACCATTTTTTTGGGAGGCCTCCCATAGAGAAATATTTTCTTCAATATTTACTAATAACCACCTTAACCTAAATATGTTCACTATCAGTAATAACTTTCCATCCAAGATTGGCTAAGAGAGCTCTATTAGATTTTTAATCCCCATTCCACCCAAATTCCTAAAGGTGCCCATCCTCCTCCAATTTACTATATGGAGAGGCTTCTCGTAGTTTCACTTTGACCAAAATAAAGTTTCTTTACATTTCTTTGAAGTCATTTATAGTGTTGATAGAGCTTTTGAAGGATATCATGATAATCTAGGGGATCATACAAGTAACTAAGTTAACTAGAGTGATTTTACTGGCAAGAGAAAGGTGTTCTTCCAACCAGCTAGCCTTTTTTTTTCCATCTTTACGCTAAGAAGTTTGAACAAAGTCTTTTGAGACTCTCCCCTCAATATTTGGGCCTCTTGAGTTTTTTGTTTTTTTTTACTTTTTTGATTTACAAGGGATTTTAAGGATTCTAGACATGATCCTCTAGAGTGTTTTAGGAATATTTATTGAGAAGTTGATAACCGATTTGGCATAATTTGGGGCTTGGCTAGAGGCTAATGCAAACTTGTCAAATATTTCTTAAATTTTTAGATAGACATTAATAGAGGTATTAGAAAAAATAATGCAGTCATCATCAAAATTGCAGAATAGGGACTTTAGGACATCCTCTTGAAATTGCACACCCAACAAGCTTCTCCCCTGAGATTGGCTATTTTTCAAGATTTATAGTAAGAGCCTCAGCACACAACACAAAAATGTACGGTGGTAGTTTGGGTAATCTTGTTGCAACTTGCTAAGTCGCATACTCGCCGAGTATAAGAGAGATAACAATTGTTTCAAGAGCCAATTTTTAACATACTTTTTGTAGTTGGAGATTTTAACCAGTCTTGCTCACAAACTAGTGCCTCCACAATCTCTGGAAATAACAAAGTCCGATACTAATCAACTATTCTACCTTCAGTACTGAATGTTCCCTCTAATGCTACGGTGGATATTGGAATTGCCAAAATATCATGTGCCAATCTAGAGAGTTTTGGAAATTTGGGACCATTAGCTCGTCAGGATCACAAAATATCAAATTGTTCACTTCTAGGAAATAGTTTTTCTTTAGGATAAATATCCAACTATGACTTTTGAGTCCCTATACAACATTCCAGACGCTCTTCAGTTAACCACCGATCAAAACCGCAAAAAAAATCCACAACACCATGAATCTTCAATGGGTGAGATGCAATACAAGAGCCTAAACGTGGCATATCCTCTATATCAAAACACATATACATTGCATATAGGTCATTTACATTCCGTTTGGTTGCTGAGAAATGATGAGAAGAGATGGAATGGGATGAGAAAGGATGAGATGAGAAGGGGATTTTTTTTCTCTACCCTGTCACATGTGTTTGGTTGCTAAGACTTATTTGCTCAAGGGAAAAGAAATGAAAGTTATTAAAAGTTGTTTTGTGGAAGATAAAGTTGTCGGTGGAAGAACGATGCTAGATCTGGAAGAGGTAAACGCCAGAAGCATTTTCTGGCAATGAAAATCGTTGGACGCCAAAAGCCATAAACTGTTTTTTGGAAGAGGCAGACGTCGGTGGAAGAACAACACCAGATCTAGAAGAGGTAGACGTCGAGAGCCATTTTCTGACAATGAAAACCATTGGACGCCATAAGCCATTTTCTGGAAGAGGCAATCGTTGGTGGAAGAACGATGCCAGATCTGGAGGAGGCAAACACCGATGGAAGAACAATGCTAGATATGGAAGAGGCAGACACCGGTGGAAGAACGACGCCATATCTGGAAGAACTATGCTCAGTTGCCTCCCTTCTCACTCAGGTTCCTATCTCATTTGGGTTAAACTTATTTGGTGAGACCCCGCATCCAATAAATTGAGACGTATGTTCTCATCGCATCTTACCCTTTTGCCTAAAATAAACATGGAGAAATAGGAATCTTTGAAGAATATTCTTATTTTTCCATCCCAGTCGCACAAACCAAACAGATCGTTAGTGTCTCTCTAACTCTTGTAACATGCCTATCAGCAGT